AAGGTAAGCCGTGGCCTGAAGGCGCAGCTTCGCGCCGCAACCAACGCGAAATGCATGTCGATTCAGGGCCGCTTGTGAGCTCCGAATTGGAGCTCAGGGGATCGTCCCTTCTGCCAGGCTCGCTGGCGAGTGCGCCGCCCGCGCGCGTGTAACGGGGAAGCCTGACTTCTGACAGGATCGGGAGGGAGAGGGATAGCGAGGGAGGACGGAGATAGGATCGGGAGAGAGGATGGAGACAGGATCAGGGGCGGAGAGGGGAGAGGGATGGAGGGGGGGGGAGGGGGGGAGGAGGCGCTCCAGGATCGGGATCGTGAGGGAGGACGGTGGCGGGAGATCGGGCCGCGAGGCCGAGTGCACTCGCAGGCGGGGCAGCTGCCGGGGGCACGCAGCGCGCAGAGTGCCAGCAGGGGGGAGAGGTCCTTCGGCGGTTTGGGTTGGGGCTGCCGTTGCGCTCGCGTGGCCACCCGCACCCAAGACGCACCAGGTCAGCATCGCCGCCTATCGTTCTCCAGTCTGCTCCAAGCTTCCCTCCAGCCATGCATTGTCGTGCTGTGCGGATTCTTCTTTTCGAAGCCAGGCATCTTCCATCTCCCAGCGCAGTCTTGCGGCCCCTCCCTTCTTCTCCATGCACTGGGGGTGCCGGCTGGGCGGGGCGTCAGCCGTGTGCACCGGCGTCGAGAGCAGGGTGCAGTGGAGTACGTCCCGTCGCTTAAAGATTGCGTCCCGTGATTGTGTCGTGCATGTGTTTCATTGGGTTCAGCGGTCTCGCACGACTAGCTCTTTCAATGGCCTCCTGGTGCCTTTTTTTCCGGCTCCGAGCCGTTTTCGTGTCTCCGCCGTCGCATTGGACACTTTTTGTGTGGTTCGAGTCGGCGTGATCTGATTCTCATCGGAGCCCTCGCCCTTGTCTCCCTCCTACACATCTTTCCGCTGCTGCTCGTGCTCCTGCTCCCCCTCCGTCTTCGTCTTCCTCCTCATCGTGGTGTAGATTCGGCGCCAGTCATGCTGTTGAGCACCCCAGCCCTTTTTGTGACATAAGGGTCGCACACATTCTTTAACATGTTCAACAACAATGATTGACCATATGAGGTTCTAAAAATGTTACTCTCGCCTTATCGCTGCGCCCATTCGTCTTACAAGTTCACAGCAGTTTCAATAATGGAGGGCGGTTCATTTTCAAACTGTGGCTCTCGCCCTAGCGCCGCGCACACTCGTCTTCAAACTTTCGCCAAATTTTCCAGGATGGAGGGTGGTCCGTTTTCAACATGTGGCCTTCGCCGCAGCCTCGCGCACAGTTGTTTTCAAAGTTCGCTGCAAAGTTCAAGGCTGCAGGGCTGCCCCCTTTCACTCAAAATGTGGCTCTCGACTTGGAGCCGCGCTCGCTCGTCTGAGCTTTTTGTAACAGCTTCAGGGATGGAAAGAGGAGAAGGGGAGGGGGAGGAGGGGGAGGGGAGGAGAGGAGGAAGAAGGAGAGGGGGAGGAGGAGGGGAGGGGAGGAGGAGGGGAGGAGGGGAGGAGGGGAGGAGGAGGAGGAGGGAGGAGGAGAGGGAGAGGAGGAGGAGCAGAGGGGAGGGGGAGGAGGGAGGAGGAGGAGGGGAGGAGGAGGAGAGAGAGGAGGAGGGAGGAGGAGGAGGAGGAGGAGGAGGAGGATGGGGAGGAGGAGGGGGAGGAGGGGGAGGAGGGGGAGCAGGAGGGGGAGGGGGAGGAGGGGGAGGAGGGGGAGGAGGAGGAGGAAAGGCAAACTGTGGCTCGGGCCTCAGCGCCGAATCTCTTTGCAGCCGTTCCAGGGGTTGGAGCACGGGCCGTGCTCGACACGCGGCGCTCGCCGTCACGCCGCGCACACTCGAGTCTATCGCAAGGGTCGGAACGTTGGAGCACTAGCTATCCGATTACCCGAAGCTTCAGCCCATGTCGCACTGCACTGGTACAGGGCCCTGTTTTCAGAAAAGAGCTCTCGCTTCGCTTAAGCCATTCTCGGTTAAAATGGTCACACACGCACAAGCGTAAGCTTGCCAACAGTTTAAGGGGAAGGGCGGTCCACCTCGCTCAACTGTATGATCATAGTTCTTCGTAACCCTGATCACGCGCCATAAGGATGCCAGGCAGCTCATTTTCAAAGCCGGGCCCTGTCCCGAATGGCAGGCCACGCTGCGCTGGTCTTTCAGGGGAACCGCTTCTTGCAGCGAGGAAGAACACTTGTTGGGACGCATGGGGAGGGGACTTGGGACGGGAGGGTATATGCATCATCGCTGACGTATCCTGTGCTTACTTTTGTCGTCCCCCTCCCATTTCCGACGGCGAATGTTTTTTGCCCTCTGGTGGCTAACCGCTTTGCTTTCGGTGAAGTAGGTTTGATTTCAGTGGGCCAAAGCCATTGCCTTCACTGTTTTTTTGCCTTCGGTCCCTTCCTGTCCTCTGGTCCTCCTCCTCGCCCTCTTCGTCCTCCTCGCCCTCCTCCCTCCCTTCCGAGGAGCAGGCGTTCGCCACACTGGGGCCGGGGGTGCCGCGCCGCCCCCGCCTCTGCTAGCAGGCTGGCAGGACACATGATCTCAGCACCCACCGTGTAGGGCCCACTTTGGTCCGCTCGACCCGATTCGCCATCAACTTCGGCTGGCCCGATCCGGTCCGGTTCCGATGCGCCGACGATCCTGTACGGACCGATGCTTGCATCGTACCGTGGTGCGTCCTGGCGCAGCCGATCCGAGTCGATTTCGATTCCGTGCCGATGTAGTCCGACCCGACACGTTCGGATCCGATCTGGTTTCCCTTTCGATGCTGATTGATCCTGCTGTGGTTGGCGCCTTTCCCCTGGTTGGGTGGGAGCGGTGATGGTGGGCGGAGGCGGGTCGCTCCCACCCGCTTCCTCTAGCTCACGTGTGCAAGATTGTGGTAGTCCTGGGGTGTGCGCCCTCTTGCGAACCCTGCCCCGAGGGGCCGAGCCGACGCTCGGGGTATGGGAGGCCCTCGCTGGTCGCGAGTACTGCCAGATGTGTCCTTGGCCCAAGTAGTCCCCAGCTCTTCGCTCCACGCTGGAGCCCCTTGGGCCCTCTCTGGGCCTCGCGAGGGGGGTGCTCTTGAGGCCGCTGGGGCCTGGGCCAGCCACACTTCGGGCCACAGCCGAGCTGGGCTTCGGCCTCTCCTGGCTGCGGGCGTCCCTCAAGATGTGTGAGGGGAGGCGGGAGGGAGGGAGGGAGGGAGGGAGGGAAAGAGGGAGGGAGGGAGGAGGAGGAGGAGGAGGAGGAGGAGCAGGAGGAGGAGGAGGAGGAGGAGGAGGAGGAGGAGGGGGAGGAGGAGGGTCCCATCCGGTCCCTCAGAGCCCTGGGCTCCAGGGCAGGGCTCCTCCAGGCAGCGTCGGGGCAGCGCCAAGCAGTGCCCAGCAGTGCAAGGCCAATGCCGAGCAAGCAGCGCCAAGCAAGGCTAAACGCAGCGATTCGCAGCACGGCCCATGACATGACACATCACGCGAAGCGAGGCCAAGCCATGCCAACAGCGAGCTCTGGACTCAAATTGTGGCTGGCTGCCTGGAGCACGGCGCGCCCCACGGCTCCCACGGGTCGCAGTGCACGAGCAAGCCCTCCCCCACACGTATGAGGTAGGTCTCGAATCTCACGCTCCAACAAAGTATGCCGTTCAATCAACGAAGTGTTCAGAGCCCACCAGGCCCCGAGATTCAGAAGCAACACCAGGTACCAACCAACCGCGAAGACGAACAGGCTCAACATGCTCATAGATCTTGGTCCATTTATCATCAGGCACCTGCATCACCGCAGTACACCCAGTCAGTCCACACGCCTCGAAGAGCTTCCACACTGTCATCATCAATCTACTGTCCACATCCACCATGTCCACCTTAGTTGCTGATAGGAGGAGGCCCCATGGTTGAGCTGCACTACGGTAGACAGGGCTCGTTTCGATTCCTCCGATTCGATTCGACTTCGATGGCTTCCGATTCCAATTCGATTCGACTTCGGATTCCGATTTGGACTCCGATTTCTTATTGGAGGCATACTATACTGCCGATTTCTGCCGATTCGACTTTTCCCGACTCGGCTGCCGATTTCAGCCGATCCGATTCGTCTCGATCGCCGATCCGGCTTGTCGATTCGATCCTGGGCTCTCTTGGTAGATGCCAGAAGGTACGTCGCCAGTCTCTTCAGAGTTGTTCGAAGCCCACGTGGACAGCTGCAGATCAGTCATCATGCCTATCACTTGACCTTCCATGATATCTTGAATCGGGTATTATCTGGAAGCCCATCATCATTTTCATCATCATCATCATCATCATCATCATCATCATCATCATCATCATCATCATCATCATCATCATCATCATGATCATGATCATCAGCATCATCATCACCATCATCATCATCAGCATCATCATCATCATCATCATCATCATCTTCATCAGCATCAGCATCAGCATCAGCATTCGCATCAGCATGATTACATCATCAGTATCGCCATCATACTCATCATCATCAGCATCATCAGCACAAACAGCCTGCGGGAGTACATGAATAACACGCACTGGGCCGTCATGCACCTGCTGGATCCAGCTACATACATCGCCTGTGTGTTCGGCTCCTGCACAAGAACGGTAAACACTGGAACATTTCGAAGATCAATTTGACGCCGTGAAAGTGGTGGGACTTCAGGCTCCACTATCAAGCGAACTCCAGGTTGCGCCAGCGGCTACAGTGGACGCCAACGATGGCCAAGATGTCCGTCGGAACGGGCATGTCTGAACACTTGTCGATAGTTGTAGTCCGATCTCGCCATCCTTCTTTCTCGATCAAGATCTTGTCGGCGGAGGTCCTCGGCCTCTTGCGTTTCCAAGTGCTGCACATTCTCGGCGAGCCAGTTGAGGCAAGAGTTGCCTGGCCGTCGCAAGTGTCGGAGGAGGTTAGATCTGTCGCAGAAGCGTGTGCCACAGGCTAGGCGCTGCGAGCCATGCGCAACCAGCTGCGCCGTGTCCATAGGGTCATGCATCGTCATGTGCTTCCGCCAGTCAGCTACCGTTGGACATGTGAAATCACGCTCATAGCAGCTGTACCTGAGCTCCTCTGCTGGAGTTGCCTTGCGATCAACGCGTAGTCCTTCCGGATGCTTCTGCCATGTTGCTGCCGCCTGCATGGCTTCAAGCTCCTGTCGAACCAAGGCCTTCCAGATTGCCGAACAAGCTGTTGAAAGGCTGTAGGGTATCGGCGCACGTACCGGAACCATTCACTCAAGCCCCATGATCGCCGCTCCTCTAGACCTGAACCCTCAGCCGATAAAGTCGTTCACGATCCACTGTCTTGAGCATCCTGATCGACCAAGTAGTAGAGAGCTGCAGGAGCCTGGGCAAACAGGCCACCTAGTACATGAGACGCTTCTTACGGATCGTGAGAACCACAGGTAACCGACGGGCAGCAACCCAAACCTATGTGTCAGTAAATCTCAGTTGCGTACCTCGATGGTGAGCTCTGCCTTGGAGGATGCGATAGGAGTGGACCCGCGGGGCCTCAAGCATCTGCATCTGAACGTCCGACATCGTTTCCCAGGTTCAACCTGGTAGAAGGGATGTACATTGTCAAGCACGTATGAATCATTGGTACGTGCAGGCAAGGACATCTTAGAAACTCAGCTGTCATTCGTCGTACTTGTTGGAATGCTACCTTTTGCTCAGCCATTGAAATTCGTGAATCGAATCCCCCCAAAGCATCCAAGGTCGTCCATAAGTACCGGTAGTCCTTTCCCTCGCGTACCTGCATCGCCAACTTCTCGGACTGCAGATTCATGTCATGATTTTGCCCCATCTGCTCTAATAAGACATGACAGTTCGCTCCTCCAGGAATAATGATGATGTTGGACTTGCTCTTCTTGTAGTTGATTGCAAACCCGTGCGTCAGCATAACCATGTGAATACCGTCGACCATCATCCCAGCTAGTTCTAGCATATTGTAGTCAGGTGGCGGGGCCTGAAGAAAAAGGGCATCATCAACGAAAGGCACATCCAACAACGACTGTTCTGCACAATGAGTAGAGAAGCTTTGCTGCATGCCATCAAGTCTCAGGGGAATTCCACCACCAAGCCCACCGATCTTGCTCTCTACGGCCTCCAAGGGCCAAACAACAGTTTTATTGAAAATGCCCGCGAGCGACAACCCTGGCCTCGAGCCTTTCCGAGAGCGAGCCAACGTAGGACCCAACGGAACCCCGAATCGCATGTCGCGGTGGCCTCCAATCATAAGAGCCAACAGGTGCGGCGACGAGTCTGTCAGCTCAGAGAAAGCCGAAGGCCGCGACAGGACGAACGCGAGGATCGGAGGCATGCTGATCGGCATCTCTTGCTCGTCGTCCTCCTTGTCGCCAACCCTTTGGGAGAGCAGCCCTCCGAGCCGCGGTGCAGAGTGCCGCCACCAAGTGCACGAAGGACAAGACGGCCCCACGCCCTCGTGTCCGAGGAGTTTTTTGCACGACGTAGCCAGGCGGGCCAGCACTGAAGGTCCGCGCCGCGCCCGACCTCCTCCTCCTCCTCCTCCTCCTCCTCCCTCCTCCTCCTCCTCCCTGCCCGCGTGTCTCGCAAAAGAAGGCCCACATATTGTGATGCAGTCAACCCGCACAGTAAAGATGGGCAACCCTCCCAAGGGTGCTCTTGCATCCCTGCCTCCTCGGTCCATCCTCGACCACTTCTTTCTGTTGGCCGCGCCCCGGTCGGGAAGCTTCGAGATGGAGTCCCAAGGCCCCTGCATCCTTATCAGCGCATCCCAGTCCGAACATGCTTGTGCCACCCCTTGCTGGTGATGCCGTGCTGCAGGAGAGACCGATCAGCTCGAGGCTGGCGAAGCGCCCCTGGGCCTTCGACCGTGGGAAGACACTGCCATGTTTCCAAGCAGAAGGCTCTTCCTGGTGTGCAGCTGCCTCAAGTCAAGCAGGGGCCGCCTGTCGTGCAAGACCCGCCGGACGCGCTCAGAGCAGATCGCCTCCAGTCCCAGCGTGTCCGGCCGCCCTGCCACGCTTTTGACACTGCCGGATGCCCTTGCAGTCATAGCAGGATGCAGCAGGAGCTCGGGATCCAGGGGACTTGCTCTGGGGTCGTTGTGTAGACGCCCGTTGTATCTGATTCCCACTTCGTGATCTGAAAGTAGCTCTGCACCTTCGGCCTTCGCGAAGTGTTTGATTCTCATAAGGTCCGCGTCTGCATTCGATTCAGCAACATGCCCATCTACATCGTGGAGCATTTGGTATCGTCCTGACTTGGAGCGTTTGCCCCCCATACCTTACACAAGCGCCAGCCACCGTGGGAATCGCCATCACGAGCACACAAGAGATCCGTTCAAGATGTTCAGCACGGTCTGAGTCCGCAGCCTTGCGGATACGCCTCGCTGTACCTCGCAGGAGAAGCTGGAGCTTCACCTCCAAATTCTCGTCAGATAGGCCGCCACCGTGCAGCCTCGTGTGGCAAGCTAAGCGTAATTCCGATATTGCCAGAGCCCACGGTGGGTCCTCTGCCGG